CAACCGCAACACTTAGTGGTACTCTCTAAAGGATAGCATCTCTCTCGGTGTGTGCCCCCGGGGCCGGCGCGTCTCCCCGGGCTCGCTGCCTGCAGCCCGAGTGCCCTCTGCTGTCACTGCGGGTCCCGGCAGCGCCGGGGGCGAGTGCGCCTTCCCCGGGGAGACACCGGGGCCGGGGCCGGTACCCACGGGAGGCTTTTGACATTGCCCCTGTGGGGACCGCAAGCAGGGCTGCGCGCAGAGCAGTGTCGGTGGGATGCTGCCGGCTAGCTGGAGCCCAGGGCTGGCAGGAGAGGGTAGAGACAGTCGGGCACCTCTGCTGCTGTCTGTCTTTGCATAAGACAAAACTCTTCCTTGAAAAATGAGGGAGGCTTACACTCAGCCCAGAAGCGTGCTTGTGTGCTTGCTTGGCTGTATCTGGCTTTTCTGTTCCTGGGACATCTTTTCCTCAGGTGCCAATCTTGACCGTGTACCTCATCTATCCTGTTCTGGTTTGTCTGGGTACTTTTGCTTCACCTGCAGGCTGCTGTGTGAGGAGCTCAGCTCTCGTACAGCTGTCTTGGGCAGTAGTTATGCTTTCCAGCTTCTGTGAGACTTCCCCGTTGAACTGACTATAGCTGTTCTCTCTGTAACTCCAAGGTGCCTCCCCAGTAGGAAAGCATCTTTAGGCCCTTTTTTTCCTGATAGTTAAGGAGACTGAGAAGGACGGGGCGGTCACTGCCCCATGGACATCGGGAGGAACTAGGTCGATAAAAGGAGAAGCAGGAATCGGATTAGCACAGTGCCAACACTCCTCACCCATGGACTTTGTTTTTCCCTGAGGTATCTGCATGGTGTGGAACAGGCGTAGGAATGGCTGTGTCTGAACTGCCCAGTGTTTTCCATTTCTTTGGAAGTTTTCTACCGCTGACAGGCATGTGAGCCCAAATGCAAGGATAAGTCACTGGCTTTCCATACCATCTGTCACCACACTCATCTTGGCTGCAGCTTCAGGCTGGAAGCTTCTGCTGCAGGTGTGGCTGATGTCCTGTTATCTTGGCTTTCAGGATGTGCCATTCCCAGCTTCTACAAGCTGTTTGATTTCGGGGCATCAGTCTCCTAAACTATTCTCCCTTTTACAGCTGGCTAGAACAGCTGGGCTGTAAGCAACAGGGAATTATCAGATAGTTGTCTTTTTTTTTCTCCCCTATCCCTCCCCTCCCCAGTCTTGAATGCTTGGTGGGGGAGCAAACTCCTCCATCTGTCCATAGCTCCCCTAGGTGGGTAATAATAGATGCTTCATATAGAAAAATTCAATTAGGCTTGACAAGAGATGTATGCTAATGCTTCCTTGCCAGGGCCCCATCTTGCTCTGTTCTGTTCCTCTGCAAGAGACTTGCTGTAGGAGCTATTATGAAAGTAAAAACCCTTTTAAGTATAATAGTGTTTATAGCCGGGACTGGTGGGCTTTGTAGAAAAGAAAATTGCAGTGGGATCTTGTACAACTGCAGCCACCAAGATGCAATTGGCTACCCAGGACATCAGATGCCAGCTGCTGAGAGCAGGAAAGGGCTGTGTGAAGTGCTGTGTGTAGGTCTTCTCCTGGTGCCTCTGAGTATTAAAGCAGCCAGGGTAAGAGGTGTGTTCATGCCCGTGTCTTGGCCGAGAGTGAGTCTTAAACTCTCTCTCTCTCCAGTTTTCATCATCCAGCAGTTTTGTTCCAATGTTGGGTGTTTTGGAGGACATTTCCATTTGTGGTTCAGTGTAGCTCATTACTAAGCTCAGTGGTGGCCTGCCCCAGAGATGTCTGCGGTGCAGTGTGTGGTTGTGCTAAGGAGATAAGAGCCCTTTCTACAGCTCTTGTTGCCATGTTCAAGACTGGGAGGAGACCCTTTTGTGTGGTTTTGGTTTTATTTATTTCTCCAGCATGAGTACTGCGGCAACACTCAATTTTCGTGTCTTAATGCTCAGATTTCGAAATACTCTGAGTCTGGGTGATGAGACTATCGGTTACAAATTACTTGGGGATGGACCTCTTTCTGCCTGTACAGCACACATGTCTGCATTGGTCATCGATGTTCCCAAAAGCTACTGTGCAGTATCACACAGCTGCTTGCTGGTGTTGGCACAATAGAAAGCAGAAGGGAACCCCCTTTGAAGCTGTGTGTGATAGAGCCCTTCAATGGCTGCGAGCTTTAATACATCTAAACCCTTTTGTCACAGTTGCACTGACTTTCTGTAATCCTATGAAATTGCATCGTCTCAACTTCCATGAAGTCTGTAACATATGAGACCCCGTTAACCTCCTGCGTTCTGTTCGTCTTGGACAGATGAGTTGACATTGTCTTGGAATTGGGCGTATGTGTATGGTGCAGGTTTCAGTGTTCATGCTTCTGGTTCAAAATTCAAAAGGTATTTGGAACAAAATATTTATAATGTAAGCAAGACTTTTTTTTTTCCCCACGTACCCAGTCACTCACTTGCATTGGAACTGTAGCAATGATATGGCTGAATGCAAGGAGTCGTCACTGCCCTGAGGTCAGCAGCGGCTTTTGGAAGAAGCCCTGTGGAGCAGAGGTAGCTGTTCTCTGCAGTGAAGCTGCAAGGCATGGGGTGGCTTGGAAAGTACCTCTTGGAGGTGTGTGGGAAGGTCAGGACAGCTTTGCAGGATGCCTCTGATGGCCAAGGTGAACACCAGGTCTGCTGGCACAACAGGGGAGTGTGGAATGGGAAAGCCCCCGAGCAGCTGCATTCACTGTAACAGAGCTGCTGGGGAGGCTGTCGTATTTAGTAGTTCAGCCTCAATAAGCCTAAAGTGGGGCCCATGGTCCTGCCCTGTACTTACAAGGGACACAGGATCTGAAGGCTTAATCCTGGGGTTTATCCTGACTGTGAGATCCTGGCTTAGGAAAGGTTCAGTTTAACAATTCCATCACGATGTGCAATATTGATCCCCTTGCTGTACTGATTCCTTAGGGACAGGCGGAGGCCTAATTTCTTACTGTGAGGCTGAGAATTGGCAGCGAGTTGAATATTAACTAGCAACTTTGTCAGTTACACTAAAGGCTGTGGTGAACAAAGCTGCATCCTGTGACAGTGTGCAGAGGTAATGGAGGGGAAAGAGTTAAATTCTGAACTTGTTCTGGTGTCTCCTGGGTCAGAACCAAGGCTGAGCTCACAGTAGAGCTCCAGTTACAGATGACCTGGAGGTCATCTGCCAGGCCTGGACTGTGTGGGAGCCTTACCAGACCTCCTCTGTGCCTTGCATGAATCCCCACTGTGTTTAAGTACACCTCTGCCTGCTGCGGCTCTGCAAACCTGTTGTCCATCAAGTGCTTCTGACAGGTTCAGGCTGTGGGGTCAGGGAGCAGAGCATGTACCTCTTTTAACCATGTACCTCTGGGTATTATCCAAGATACAAAGACTCCCGGGTTTTGGCTAGGACTGGTTGACATCACTCCACATAACAGAAAAAGCATGCTTAAGCACAGGACACAAACACCCAGCACACAAGGGAAGATCCACACACAGTTGTGTCATTTTATTGTGTTTGCCTGGGCTCTGGCTTGGCATGGCTGTGGTTCAGAAGGCCCGTGTGCCCTGGGCATCCAGTGCAGTGGTGCAGAAAGCCTGATGAAGCAGAGCATGCACAAAGTGACCAGCTCGGAAGCTCTCTCCTTTGCCTACAGGTAATGGTATTACACTGCACTTGTAACGGTGCACTTTGATGCAAAGTGGCATTCAAGTATATATGTGCTGGCAGCCCAGGAAGGGAAGACACACAGACGGACACAAAAATATAAGTGCCTGTCTGTCTAGGCGACACCGGCTCTACTAAAGGGATGCTCTTCCCAGAGGACTGACTAGCAGGGACAGGCGTGGCTCAGGGAAGCTTAGGTGTCTTTGTTCGGGATGGTGGCTCACAGCCCTGAGTAATATCGAGAGGCACTAGTGGGAGTGTGTACAAAGTGCTGTCTTGTCAGTGAGCATATGGAGTGAAGGCAGACATGTACTTTTTGCAGACATTGTTAGCAGGCAGGAAGAACTGACATCAAGTGGGGCTAACAACAGCTTTCTGCATGAAGAATATCTCCCGCCTTCAAAGAGTCACACTGGAAAACCAGGGTGTTTGTTGCATGAAGCTGCAGAGGCCAGGGAAGGGTAGATGAGTTTGTTTTCATTTGTTCCTGGACCCCTTCCCCAGTTTGCTTCTAACCCCCTTTCCTTAAGTCCTTGTTGTCTTTCCCTGCAATTACTCTCAGTTGCCATCTGTTTGGAGGAGCCAAATGAAGGCCTGGGCTTGGACACCAGAGAGGTTTCAGTTCCTGGTGCCTTCCTGGATAAATGGATCCTGGGAATGGTGTAAGAGGAAAGGATCCAATCCCTATTGCTTTGCATTATCATCACTAAATATTAAACTAATAGCACTTGGCAGCCAAGCTAGAGCTCCTACGAGGCGAGCAATGACATCTATTGTTTATAAATGGGAGAAGCTAAGGTTCTCGCTGCAGGTCATGGAAGCAGTTGGTGACAGAGATGTGAGAGGGCTCTGGGTTTCCCTGGTATGTTCTCAGACACAAGGTCTATGCTTTTCTTTCTTCCTTTTTTCCCACTCTTTAACTTCCAGAAAATACGCCCAACTACCACTTGAAGTTAAAGGGTGCCCACGACTGGGAAGCAGGCAGGAGTGGTGTCTAGCTTGGGCTGCGTGCTAGGGGTTGGTGGCTTAGAAGAGAAGTAAGGTCTGCAGGATTTGTAGGTGATCTCATGTCTGTCAGAGAACATCAGCTCAAGCGGTAAGCCTGAATCTCACGTGGTGCATTCACAAATCTGTTCCCATTCTTTGCATAGTCCACTTGAGGAAAGATGGATGGTGGCCCCTGGCATCTTGCACGCGCATTCATATGCAGAAAGGTTGTATGCTCTACAGCCCGGAAGCAGCACCATGGAGAAACCATCCAAAGGCCATGGGATGCCCTGAGGGAAGTCAGCTCCAGCATGCAGGCACCAGTTCAGCACAGCTATGGCTCCACTGTCACGCTGCTGTTGGTAACACGTACGCCATACCAGCCCTTCCAGAATAGTGTGTCCTGGCCACCATGTTCAAAGCGGACAAAGCGGACCCCAGGCCCGTAGTTGGAAAAGGTGTGGGAGATCTTTGGGGCAAGAGAAAAAATAGTTATTGGTAAGTGTCAAACCACCACGAACCCACCCTTCCTTAGTGCACAGAGCCTTCAACCCCACCTGCCTGAGTCATAGCTACCAGGCTGGGTAACAATGAGGATATAACAGTGAGAGTTACTGGAAGGAGCTTTGATCCTATTGCTGTTCAGAGGCTGTTGAACCTCTCCTATTGGGCATCTTCTTCATCTTACACCTGCAGTGGTGGCTCAGCAAGTTTCCAAGATTTATGTAAAGTAGCCTTGCACTATAATCCCTTCATTCAATCACAGGGTCATGGCTGCACAGAACACATGACAGAGCCTTTTCCTCCTCCAGGAGAACTCTCCTGCTTCTCTCTGCTTGAAAATAGTCCCAATTCATGCAGGTTGGGTGTCACCTGCTGATCCCAGCGCTGTAACTCACCTCAGTCCAGTTGGCGTCATTATCCTGTGGGATAGCAATAGTCTCACTTTTGTACTCAGCCAAAACATCCTCGTTCTCTGAGAGCAGCTTCACACAGAGCTCATAGAGGCAGCCGGCATCACTACGTCCTGCGTACCTGCACAGAGATCCGAGCTGCTGGCCTTACCTGTGTCAACGCGGCAAAGAGCCAGAGCATCTTGCTGAACACAGGCTCTAGCAGTCTTATCAAGCTACTGGGGCCTTGGTTTGAGGTGGGAGTCTGTAACAGTTCTTGCCCCAATCCACCACCTCCTCTCATACACAGCAGGAACGTGGTCTTTAGAGGCCATACGCACCAACAGTTCGAAGCTCGTGGGAGCTGCTTGTGGCTCTGTCAGCTGAGACCCAGCCCTGTCCCACATCTAGGGGATGTGACAGCTGAGGTTTTAAGGCGCAGCACAGGTATGTGCCTTACTTGCCCTTCCTTCTCTCAACTCTCTGCCTGCCTTCTTGAGGCATCCTTGCTACTTACCAGTCTTTTATCACGACTTTAGGCTGGGTTGTATCCATCAGCTCTTCCCAGTAGCCCTCAGCCCTAAGGTCAATGACCTGAGCCTTTCGACACCACCTGAAACACAAGATGTTAACTGGTATCACAGTTTCTCCTGGGACTGGGGGAACCAAAATGTCCCCTTCCCTGAATAAGAGAAGAAAGCAGCCTTACTCATAAGACGTAACAAAGTATTTATGGACTTCTTCACTGGGGAATTCTTTTCCAAAGTCCCCAGGGAGCTCTTCAATTTTCCAGCCATCACCTCCATTCTCTACCTCTCCCCAGTGCTGCAAGTCTTCTGCAAATGGCAGAAAAAAGATTGGGATGAGTCTTAGTCTCTGTGGGCCTGGGGAACCTGACCTCCCACTGGAACCTCCCTCTGGCTGGTGAAAGGTATGCTGCTAGATGCAGCACTAATTTTGTATGTAGACTACGGATACATTTGTTAAGTAGAGGTCAGGCAAAAACATTTAGTCTGGTTGAACTTAATGTTAACAAACTTTAACGTTCCCCACCAAAATGGCTCTGTACATGTGGGTTCATTTAGGAAAGTACCGAAATAATTTCACTGGAGTATTCTGAACTGTGTCTGCACTTTCAGTGTCATAATATAGGAATAGCCTGGGGAGAGATGCTGATTGCTTTATTTCTAAATTTTCTAAATTGCTAAGTGGTATTTCTAGAAGCAGCGTGGCCTTAAACATTGGGCTTTTCCGGTCTTAGCCAGAGGGAATGTGCATGTTGGAAAAGCTTGCAGAAAAATAATCTGTAAACAAAATGGAGAAGCTGTGTTGATATTGCTTTGGTCTATGATGTGTGAAATGTACTTGTTGCTGCTTGGGTTATGGGCTCGGTTACTGCTGCTTATTGCAAAGCATCTTGTAGATCTGGCAAGCAAAGTTCATAGACTATCAGAATTAAGGCAAATGGGGTATGTGCACAGCTCTGTAGCATGGGCTGTGGTAAGGAGGGTACAAACAAAATTTGCCTGAGATGCTTCAAGAAAGCAAGCCTGAAGTGCCTGGTGAGCTGAGGGCAGGCTGGCTCCTGAGTGACAGGAAAGACCAAGCCTTTCCTTACGGTTTGGCAAGAAGCAATCTGGAAACCCAGATGCTGCTACCATTACTGCACTGGGCAGGGGTTCTGCAAAGGACATTTTTGTGTCTCAAATGTGATTCAGATCCCTGCAGGGGCTTACATAAAGTTGATGTCAAGTAAAGCCCTTTACAAAGGCTGGGCTTCATGCCCATTAAGTGATTTGACTCTCGGGCAAGAACAAAATGCTGCAACCTGATGGCAGCTAAGACCTCTTTTCATAGACTGGAGATGCCCAGCTCCTAGTGACTGGTCATCTCTATGCAGCTTGTTATGCTTGTCTCTCACCTTCCCCACATGGGTTCTTGATGAGATTCTTCCTTTTCTTACTCAGGAAGTAGAAGTTTTGCCA